CTAAATTATCAGTGACATAAATAATCATGGTTTACACCAGAAATAATTAATAGTATCCAGTAATGCTGCAGTTTTATATTCATATCAGTAGCCAAGCTTACTTTCAAATTCAAGAATGAACAGAAGATTAGAAGTTTAACATTCTTATTGCAATTGTATTTGCAATAATATATACATACAGTACTAATTATCAAGAACATTCCTCAAATACATGTGTGGTGAAGATTTCCTAATATGCTATCTATTTGATTCCTAACCTCTAATGTAAATTTATTAAAGAAGTGAATAATCAGTGTTAGTGTTTGCTTTATTAATATTTAAAGTAATTGTCCTAACTTGATATTAATAGGATAATATCTCCTTGGATACAGTCGGACATAAACATATAACTCAATAATTAAATTTATAAAATACTAATATTATATTTTACTACTTGTATATCTCCATACTATTCCCATAAAATATTCAAAACATGTATATTAAATATAAATCCAGTAAATATTCACTAATATTAACCCTGTCCGAACTTGTCTAGTCAATATAACATGAACAAACAACATACATACAAACCCCATCGCCAGGACAACTTCCTTTCTAAATATGAGCAAAATACATAGCCTCACAAATGTCATACAGTACCAATTTTATACTGAACCTCATACCTAGTTAAGAGTAACTATAGTCAGAGAATCTTTTAGTACTTTTATTACCATTAGGAAATAAATCCACACCTATAATATCAGCATAATTAAATATTATTAGTAATCAGTAATACACACAGAATTGTTATTATCAGCTTGCTTACTACAACAAAATCAATATTAAAGTTTATAATAAATCAAGACAAAATATCTATTTAAACAATACAGGCTTGTTTACCATAAACACCCCACAGTCACATGAATTTATCTAGTAACACAATTAATAATGTATTAAAAGTATTACATTCACATAATATCACTTGCAACAGTTAAGCTGTCTCTTTGTACATCTGGTGTAAAACAAATTCCCACATGTAGTCATGGATAATCAAATATAGACTAAGAATCATTAATCTGGTCGACCGAGTAGTGGTATAAAAACACTTCACCATGAAGCGTTAAGTATGAACAGATATTCTAAACCAACACTGTAATAGTGTAATAAATACAAATATTTCATCATCATCATCGTCTCAACCATCACCAACCCACGACTGAACACAGGCAATTTCCACCGACTGACACAAGGAACGGCCCCACAATACACATAAAACAGTCACTCCAAACAATGGAGGTAGCCTACACCGCACTTGCATTTACAGGGTCGCCACTCAATAACCCCTCTCTCTTATCAATGGCTGTTTCCCCAGCAATGAGACCAGACCATAGTCACTTTAGTCTATTATCCTCAATAAATAAATACTTTATAATAACTAGGTATGAAACTAGTTAGTATTGTAATAGTTCAATAGTTGATTCAATAAGTATTTTCCAAAACTGGACAATTAGAACATTGAATCAAATTGATGAAGTTCTATCAAACGACCATATAATTGGATTTTGTATATGAGTAGAATAACGTAAGTACGTAAATTATATTGATGTAAACTTTGTTCAAATGTGATTGCATTTAACGATATACGCATTACCTAAAGGTATATGGACTCGACTAAATACGTATTTTAATAGTTGTTGGGAAAAATATTAAGTATAGACTTTGCCTGTGATCACAGTCAAAAATCTAACTACGTAGTAATAAATGGAACAAGCTCACCGGATTCTCCAGTCTTCTATTGATTAATTTCACACACTTAATCCATAGTGATACACTAAGATCTCAAACCCCTTCATCGAACCAGTCCCTCCTAAATCTATATCCTAGTTATTTTTTTATTTTATTGCGCAGTTCCTTAAAACACGACTCCCGCGCCATTTTCCGTCCTTTTTTTTTTTTTTTTTTTTTTTTTTTTTTTTTTTGCGCATTTCCTAAAAAGCGACTCCCGCGCGCCCGCCGATCTGCCGTCTCTCCTTTTTTTTTTTTTTTTTTCTATTCTTTCTCTAATAACGTCATAGATTATGTCACCGAAGGGTAGATATTTCAATAATCAGATTTAGCCTATTATTCGAACTGAACTTTTCTTTAAATTCAATTTAATTATATGTTAACGTATTTTGGTATTTTATATTAAATTGATTATCGAATTTATAAAACTTTAAAGACTCTCATAAACCTTATTAAACTGTGTTGTATGTATCTTTTTTTTACACCTGATGATAAAAAGGTAAACTATAATTTGGTTATATATAAAATATAATATATTTTTGTTTAATTTATTTAATTTTCTTGTGACATCCACTACACTTTGGAAACACATCAAAGGAGTTTCCCTTCTGTGTCAATATTTCATATATGGTAACGTCTTCTCTGTACGCTATTGTGAACCTTGACTTTAAAGTTTGTTTATATTAAATAGCTCAGCTTTCGCAGCGGTCACCTATAGGAATCCCTGTTTCTTTTATGTACTTTTGGTATTAAACCTATTGTACTATAGGCGAACCGTCACAGTAGACCTAGTATGGTATATTGCTAGCAATGAGACAGTTAGACTTCATTACTAGCAATCTTCCCCCCCCCCCCATATGGTGGCATTAGGTCCCGGCATAGAATGGGCCACACCTTTTTCTGTGGGTGTCATAAGAGGCGACTAAGAAAACATAATAGTCGAGGAATGGGCAGCAGCGTCTCTGTTTAGATATCACTAAAACGTAACTGTAATGGCAAATAAGCTGACGGCCCGCCTGATGGAAAGTGATAACCGTCGCCTATAGACATGGGCAATAACAGGGATATAACAGAGTATACTGTTTCGTCCATGATACCCCCCATGCGTTGCCATTCCTGAGGACTCAAGTGTTATTCCTCTGGACCCTGTAAATTCACTACCATATCACACGCTTCTTAACCAAAACACAGCCATGTTAACACAACTGCTTCACGGTAGAAACACGAATGGAAGAGGTGCAACGACTTTTGTATAAAGTCTCCCTCTGGTACCTGTGGCCAATAGTCTTATAGTGTTAAAATAATGACAACTCTATTGACTACGTCTTTAATATACAAATAAGCCTCTATTTAATAAACTGAGGGAGACCAGAGGGAGACTTTGTATTTACCAGAAGAAGACTTTGTACAAAAGTCGATTGCTTGGGTACCTCTGTCCCATTTGTGTTTCAACCGTAAAGCAGTTGTTTGCATAGCTGTGTTTCAGTTTGAAGGGTGGGATATGACGTGAATTTACTGGGTACGGGGGAATAACACCTGAGTCCTCAGGAATGGCAACGCATGGGGGGTATCATGGGCGAAACAGTATATTCTGTTATGTCCACGGTACTGCTCATGTCTATAGGCGACTGTTACCACTTTCCATCAGGTAGGCCGTCAGCTTGTTTGCCATTCTAAGTTGTATAAAAAAAAAGCTTTTGTAAATATACATTATTTAATTCAACTTGAGAGATTGGACCGTTACAATGATAAGTAAAAATGAACCCGGTAGGTGGCGATAGTGGTCAAAGTAACGTTTGCTGGTTCGGCCAGAATTTTATAAGATTTTTAATACTCAATATAACTGCTATTTAAACGTAGTGTACTATTCAACTATAAGACTCCACATTTTAAATATAAAAATTGTTAAAGTAAAATTCATACGAGAAAATCCTTAGACAGACAATGCGCAACAAAGCATAGTCTAAATTGTTAAAACTTAAGCAGTGGAATTTTCTTTGTGTGCTCCGTATACGAATTCTAAAATAATAAATGCTCCTTCATATTGAGTAAAAGATTATACCAAAAACTAATATTTACAGTACAAATATGCTGTAATAATATTTTGTCCCATATGGTACCGACATAGAATAGGCCACCCCTTCCTTTCCCCTGGGTATTATAAGAGGCGACTCGGGGAGAGCAAGTGATGGTCAGCAGCGTCCCTTTTAAAACATCTACAAGGCCTTACTGCGGTTGCCATTATTTAATGTACCTGTCTTGGTGGCGGGGCACCAGTGATAGATGTCTGATGAGGATGAAAGCAGGTCAGTTAGCCCATCCTGACCAATTCAACTAGAATTAACCACGATGGTTTCCAGGGGAAACCACGTAGAGGTCAATCTGGCAGGGTTGTTAGTAAATGGGCTATTTGACCCTATTACTAACAATCCTTTTCCCCCCATACAATAGTTGGTAGGTAGATAAAGACTTCCTAACTGTTTGCAAACTGATAGTCGTTAACTACTAATAAGAAACCAAAACCAGTGAAAGCCGAGTCGAATTAAGACTTACAATTCTGTTCAGGAAGAACAGAAGGCGTATCCGGTGAAGCTATTATTAGTATATCTATATTCATTTCCACACCAGATCCCTTCCGGAATAAATATAAAGAACTAAGTGGCAACAATCTATCCTTCGATACACATCTGCTTGATCTAATGCTGTTTAAATATATATTCGTTGATTACATCATTTCCTTTAATATAGATATTCAAAGTATTTTTTTATGCAACTTAGAATGGCAAACAAGCTGACGGCCTAACTGATGGAAAATGGTAACCGTCGCCTATAGACATTACCATAACAGTATCATGGCATAATAGAGTATATTGTTTCGCCCATGATACCCCCCATGCGTTGTCATTCCGGAAGATACAGGTGCTATTCCTCTGTACCTTGTAAATTCACTGCCATATCCCACCCTTCAAACCGAAACACAGCCATGCAAACACAACTGCTTCACGGTTGAAACACGAATGGGACAGAGGTACCCAAGCAATCGACTTATGGACAAAGTCTCCCTCTGGTTTTACATGGCTTTAACTTTACATGGTCTTCTAAATAGTTACCATCAAAACTAAAAATAAAATATATTTATTCTTTTTATTATCTATCATATATTATATGTCATAAAGAGATTTCTCTTTATAACCAAAACTAAACATTTATCAGACTATTTCTTTTGTTTGTTTCAGAAAACTCAGTATCAGGCACGTCAACGCTTAACACCAAAAAGCATCGACAGAGGAACTACAGGCAAAGCTCTATGCCCAAACTGGGCTTACAAGACGATTACGGTAAGGGATCGACTCGACAAATCCGATAAATAACTGCTACTATTATGGGATTTGATGGGATTCTTCGACCGACTGTTACTTGTGATTGCATAGACCCTTTGTATAGTTCTTTGCAGAAATAATATTTACTACCACTATTACGTTGTAAAAATAACCGAATATCAAAGAAATTCTATCAAGCACCCCGTATATTAAATTATTGTAACATCTTTATAAGATTTCTTGTTATCAAGTGTGTGACTTAAGACTTAGTTTAAGTCAAAACAAACAAAATCGAATCTACACTAATATTATAAAGAGGAAAGATTTATATTTTTGTGTGTATATATATTTGTTATGAATAAACTCAAAAACTACTTTGCCGATTTCAAAAAATCTTTCACCATTAAATAGCTACATTCACCCTGAGTATTATAGGCTATATTTATTGCTAGAAAAGTTTAGGGATCTTTACTAAAACTTTAGTAACGTAACTCAAGTTGTAAAAAAACTCCCCAAAGGGGGAGGCTTATGTCCAGCAGTGGACAGTTAAAAGCTGATATGATGATAAATAGAATAATAATAATAATATTTTTATTGAGACCATAAAGACATGTAACACTTATACATTCTTTTTTTCAAGACTTCACACTGGGAGAGGATTCACTATATTATAAAATCATGGGCCCATTTCATCAAATTTAAATCATTTTCAATCAAACAGACTTGCCTACAGACACTTTTAAATCGTCATTTTTAATGAATGTAAAGTTCAGAAAATTGTTATCTGCTGAAAAGAACCCGTAAGAAACTCAACAGACAGAAAAATCTCTATTAATTATGTATTTATTTAAATGTATTGTCTAAAATTACTGGTCATTAATAATCCCGTGCATGATCAATTAATGCAGTGGGCAATTAACGGCTGATATGGTATGATACGATAGTATTTTTGGTTTTCACCTTCTCGACTTATGTCGGCTTAAAAACATACCCCATCCTGCAACCCACAGGACAAAAGGTACATATGCCCCAGTTTTTTTTTATGTCCGTCTTTTACCTCGCTTTCTGTTTTGAGTGTATACTGAATTTGTGAGTGATCGTGTGTTTGGTGTATGAATTGTGTTGGATGAATCTGGTGTGTTTGTTGAGTGTTGTGTGTGATATTATATGATATGATATGGTATGATATGATATGCTATGATATATGATATGATATGGTATGATATATGATATGGTATGATATGATATGGTATGATATGATATGATATATATATGATATGATAGCAAATATCAGTAGAAAGAGTACTTTTATTTTCTGTCTTTGATTTTTATCACCAACATGAAGTTATAACTGGAAAATAAAAACCGCATAAAGCTTGAGAGCTTGTAATGAGTTACAGTAACACCATAATAGTTAATTCCCCTTAGTGCCAAACATTGAACTCTCTGTTAGATGTTATCGGTGTAATGGGAAGCACTTAGCATAATCCCAACGAGCGTCTATGTTTTTGTGATTACCAACTGTGATCGGAATAGCTAAGTTCTTGGTAAATTCTATCGTTACTATTCAATGTGCTTTGTTGAAATTATTTCGTGTTTTTTTTTTTTTTATTTGATGTGTTAGTTTTCTTTTTTTTATTCAAACAGCAAAACTAATGTACGCTTTACATGTGGTTATCATAAGTTATTCTACGAATGCAATAAATATGACTGTGGACGACATAGGAAATCAGGAATGAGAATTATAAATATTTTTATTTAAAATACTTATTTTTTTATAAGTTCTTGCCCAAAATGACAACGTTTAACATATATAATACCTCTGATTATATAATATATATGCTTTTACATAGTATTCTAATAATAAAATAATGACCCTTTTATTGTGCTACTTAGAATGGCAAATAATCTGGCGACCCACTTAATGAAAAATGGTAACCGTCGCCTGTATGTATATGACCAGTATCATGGACATAAAAGAGTATACTATTTCGCCAATAATACCCCCTGTGTTGCCATTCCTGTGGACTAAGGTGTTATTCCTCTGTACCCTGTAAATTCACTGCCATATCCCACCATTCAAACCAAAACACAGCCATGCAAACACAACTGCTTCACCATTGAAACATCCAAACTGTGATTCTTTTTTATATATTTGCCATATATCTAATCTATTTCAATAGTCTTGTACGAAATAATATATTGTTCTACCTCTTTTAGTATGACTCCTATCATTCCGGTTGGCTGGGTTATCAATTTTTGCTCCACTAAACTGTAATTATCTATCATACAGACAAATTTCACTATATAATATTAGTGTAGTTTAATTAACGTTGCATTTAATTTAAATATATTTGTACGTAAATTAATAAATAATTATTGCATTAATATTGCATTGATTGATTAATATTGCATAATTATTGCGTTGAATCCATGCGTACGAAGTTGCGGGTAGAAGCTAGTGTTTTCTGACTACATTTTCAGCAATTAAATGATAATTAGTCGCTTATCGTTCGAACTTATTGGAACACTAGTTTCTACCCGCATCTTCGTACGTATAGATTCTTAAACATAACGACTTTATACATCAAAACTTGAGTTAGGACTTTAGGAATATAACTGCAAAAACCGTTTTAAATTTTATGCAGTAGTTTTTGTGTTATGTCAAACCAAACATACAGACAAAAAAAAACTCTAAACCTGATTATTTTGACTTTGATTACTGTTATTAGAAAAGCAATACAAATTCAAAATATTATATTGATTTCCTTAAACGTTTGTTTAAGAATTATTATTATTATTATTAATTTTGTTATATTAGTAAGTGAAGACTAGGCAGCATGGTCTCCGACCTTAGCCTGTTCCACAACGGAACAAACGTACTTAAAAAAAATATTATCTTGTAAGTAAGTAAATAAAAGTGTAACTGTTGAATTTCTTACAAGTTCTTCTCAGCAGATAACAACATTCCGTTCCTAGCGATTCTTATGAGTAAAAAATTAAATGATGGTCCCGTCTGTGCTGTCTATATACCTATCGTGATGCATACACCTGGAATTCAGCACGATGGTTTCCAGGAGGACCGCGTGGAGGTTGACCTGATAGGGTTTATTGCTAACAATAGGACTGTTAAACCTCATTACTTACGGGGTACTAGAAAAACATGATAAGTGAGGATAAAGCAGATCTTTTGGCCCATTGTGATGAATTTAACGACAATTAACCACGATGGTTTTTAGGAGGAATCGCGTGGAAGTTAACCTGATGAGGTGTATTTTCTATCAATGGGACTATTAAACCTCATTATTTATCCTATTAATTAATCCCTTTCCTCGCGATTCTAGTAGTGGAATGATTAGATTTAAAAGATCTTATAAACAAATCTATTTGAACAAAGATTATTTCTATTCCATTCTAATGCCCTTACTTGGGGGGGAAAGGGATTGTTAGCAATGGAGTTTGACAGCTCCATTGCTAGCAATATGCCTTATTAGGTCGACCTCCACGTAGTTCCCCCTGGAAACCATCGTGAACAATTCTTGTTGAATTCGTCACGATGGGCTAACTGACCTGCTTCATCCTCACCTATCATCCTTCACTGGTGCCCCGCCGGTGTATACCGATAGCGCGGGTGGGGTTACCATTCCATTTTCATCCATTAAAAAAAAATTGAATTAATTGCAGCAATAGAACACCGTTTATTCGTTTTCCAGGTGACATTTTGGTCGTAAGGGCAAAACTATAGCAGGTTACGACTCAATAAGAGCAAAAGAATGTATCCTCTAAACAAAGGGAACAAGGCCAAATGGCCTTCGGATTTACGACCACGGCTGTTTGTTTAGGATAGTTCCTATCCTTTCAGTTTCCACTCTGCCAATGTAAATATACAATTTGTTAATTAACTCCACAGATAGTCAACAAAATTACACAAGTATGGGTGTTTGTCGGACGGAGTCGCTGAATATTCAGCTAGAAATACCACCGGGACAAAGCAGTGGATTGGCAGTACACGAAGAAAATGCGACATTAATAATATCACATTTGGCTACACAGTCGCCAGCCTACAGGTATATTTTATCTTAATATAACAAAATTCTCCGTGTGGTCCTGGCATAGAATAGGCCACCCCTTCCTTTCCAGTGGGTGTCGTAAGAGGATACTGAGGGCAAGAGATGAGCAGCAGCGTCCCTCTTAAAACATCTTGGGTTGCCAATCTGCCTGCCAAGCTTGGTAACTACTGGCAAAACCCTTTCAAGGGAAAGGCTTATGTTCAACAGTTGGACAGTTAAAAGCTAATATGATGACAAAATAGTACCTTGCCAATGTCCGTACATGGAAGATATTTAATTCTATTAACATAATAAAATTGTATATTATATTGCCATGTGGTCACGGCATAGAATGGGACACCCCTTCCTTTCCCATAGGTGTCGTAAGAGGCGACTAAGAGAACTTAATTATCGAGGAATGGCCAGCAACACCCCACACTGACAAAATTCTCCCCCATGGGGAAGGTCTATGTTCAGAAGTGGCTAATTAACAGCTGGTATGATGATGGGCTTTGGAGATGTTTTAGAGGGGTGCTGCTGATCATTCCTGGTTTCCTCCCTTAGTTGACTCTTACGACTCCCACGGGATAGATTACCCTATTATGGAATATTTTATTATCCATACATCTTTCAGATCTGGGTGCATACAAATAAGAGATAGAGTAATGTCCATCAATGGACACGAAAACTTGACAGTGGACGTTGCCAATGAAATATTGCAAAGAAGAAACGACTCCCACAATCCTAAGTACCTGACGCTGAACGTCGAGTTCAGTATGGCTAATACGATAGAAGCATCCAGCGGCGTGTTCAATGTGAAATTAGCCAAAACTACGGCAGGCCTTGGAGTTACTATCACAGGTAATATGCTATTTGTTTTTTTTTTTTTTTATTTTATTTAATGGATGATAATGGAGTGGTAACCCTGCCTGTGCTAACGGTATACGCTGGAGGGGCGCCAGTGAGGGATGATAGGTGAGGAGAAAAAGGCAGGTCAATTAGCCCATTGTGATGAATACACCTGGAATTCAGCACGATGGTTTCCAGGGGGAACCACTTGGAGATCAACCTGACAGGTTATATTGCTAGCAACAACTGACTGGGAGACAGCATTACTATCAATCCCTTCCCCCCACCGGTAATGTGTTCTGAAATAAAATTTTAAAATATACGTTACTGTGAGCATTGAATTACAGGGTCCACTAGCTATTTTCAACAAACTTCAAAAAGTAGCAGTTTCTCAATTCAATCGTATTCTCATTTTTTACGTTTCTTACCTCATACCTTCGTCAGTTATAGACAGATTTCGAAATTTCTTTCTTTATTTTAAAGGATATACTTACAGATTGCTCTTAAAGAATTTTTATCAAAACCAGTTTAGTGGTTTACTTTTTAAATCAAAATTACTGTTTTTTATATACTCTGTCTATAATTTTTCCTAAAATGTCTTATATAATCACTTATAAGTGTTTTATATTTTTTATTCACTGGGGAATTTGGCGTAAATATTTATTTATTTATTTATTTATTTATTTATTTATTGGAAAACCAACAGCTTACAATTTATAGCTTAAAACAATAACAAATTATCCATATAAAAGGCCAATAACAGTTTTTCATTGACTTAGCGATATAAATTTGTCGTGGCTAGAGTAATTATAAAATTTAGAAGTAAATAAAAATAAAAAACTACACTATAGTATATCATAACAATAGTTACTAGATTGTGTGTGTGTGTGTGTGTGTGTGTGTGTGTGTATGTGTGTGTGTGTGTGTGTGTAGATTTGGTAATGAGGTGACCATATACAACTAGAATATTCCAAAATGCTACGTACATAAGCAAAATATATAGACTTCAAACACTGTATATTATCAAAATGTTCACAAACACGTTTTATAAAACCTAAGTGTTTGAATGCTTTAGTCACAACAATATCCACATGTTTGTCCATTAAGAATTTGTCATCAAAATATACACCGAGATCACGTACAAGATTGACACGATGGACAGGGACATTATCTATGGCATAATGAAATACAATAGTATCTAGTGAAACTATAACTTGACATTTGTTATTTATAGTTATTTTATTTCTTTTATAGAAATTACTTAGCGAAATCAGGTCATTTTGCAATTTATAACAATCCGAAGTATTTTTTATAACACGGTAAATTTTTTTATCATCGGCATATAATAAATGTTCAGAATTATTAACACATGTGTAAATATCGTAAAGATAGGCATTGTAAAATAAGGGTCCCGTAATATAGATTTATATTACGTTTTATATTATTTATATATACGTCATTTAAGTCACTTGTATGTTAAGTAAAGAGAACCGAAGGTCATAGACCTCTACTCGTATCTTACATACTAACTTAACATGCTTCCTGGAAATTTATCAGAGAAATATTACTTGCATAAGATGTAGCAAAATATTTTATTTGCCTTTTGTAGGATGTAAACAAAAATTGCTGAGTAACGAAGAGCCAATGGTGATATCAGATATTAAGCCAGGGTCGGTAGCGCACCGTAGTGGAGCGCTAGCCCCGGGAGACCAGTTACTGGCGATCAATGGCCAGCCATTACATAATTTATCACTGGTAAGTGCTAGACAATTTACTATCGCAGCCTAATGAGGTTTCTATTATACAGTGAATTAACCACTACAACTGTAAGTGATGTTCAATAAATACTCATATTTATTGGCATTTTGTTTACAATATTATCAAAGTATTAAATAACTTATGAAGATTTTTTACACTGTGATATTACTAAGGCTAATATCATCTAATATTGTAAAGGGAAAATGTTTATTTGTGCGTGTTCATATATAGTTAAACAGAAAAACTATTACATTCATTCCTAATAATTAACATAAAACTCCAATGAGATATTTCCTATTTTTTTAATTATAATATATATACAAAATTATATATTTTTTAATTTCTTGTTTTTTTTTTATACAACTTAGAACGGCAATCAAGCTGACGGCCTACCTGATGGTAAGTGGTAATCGTCGTCTACAGACATGAGCAGTATAATGGACATAACAGAGTATATTGTTTCGCCCATGATACCCCCCATGCGTTGCCATTCCTGAGGACCCTGAGTCCTGGACTTATTATGGGAAATAAAAATTAAGGTGTAATAGTAGACAATATCTCATTATGCTAAATGCTATAATATTTTTATTATGCTAAAACCTTTCAGTTACTAGAAAAAGTATTATATTTTGATATATCCGGGAGTTAGAAATATCTAGGCACATTTACATGGTTTATTCGTCTAAATTGTGTTTTTAATAAATTATAAACTATTCAAGTACACTTAAACAAATACCTTCTATTCTTAAAACTTAATAATTGTGTAATAATCATTTAAGTAACTTAAATTTCAAATTAGATATGTTTTCAGGATACAGCATTTAATATTCTACAAAATTCACCAGACGACATAATAACACTTAAAATTCGAAAGCGTGATCTAACAGAGGATTGGTCAAATATACACAAGCACAACGCCAAACTAACATTACAAAGTTTCAGTAATATAGAAATTAAAGCTGTAGTACATAGCGGCGAGGATTCCGGCCATCATACAGAGAGTCCTAATAACAGTGCAAAAGAAAGCGAACGTAGTCACGGTAGCAATGAAAATGGTAATACGGCTGTTTTCACTGTCGAGTTAATTAAACAAGAGAATGGGCCCTTGGGATTAACAATCGCTGGTAGTGAGGATGTAACGCAGCCTATTTTGTTAAGTGGTCTAGTGGAGGGTAAGGATAAGGAATTGTATGAGTTGTTAAATGAATGATCCGAATATGTCTTAATTATACATGTATTTCAGGGGGTGTAGCAGAAAAATGTGGAAAATTATCTATAGGAGATGAATTACTAAGTATCAATGGTGAGAGTGTTCTCAGCAAACCATTATCTGAAGCTATCAAACTTCTGCAACAGAGCGGTCAAAGAATTCAGTTACAGCTTTGCAGAAAAGTTGCAGGTGATATTTATATATTTTTTTTTATAATTTTTATTATAGGAAACGATACAACGCTTCCTAAAATACGAAAATAAATTAATATTTTAATATTAATATTAATAAAACATTAATTTATTATTATAATTATCTATTAACTGAATATTAATTTATAGCGTACTTTCACTAATAAAATACTTAGTAATATTATAAATGCAAAAGTGAGTTTGTTTGTTACGTCTTATAGGTTACCTCATAAAAAATATATATGGAATATTTTATTATATATATGAAATGAAGTAGGAAATAGTGTCAATGAAGTTTTGTTAAAACTTAACCGTAACTAAAAATTTAGCACTTTACATAAAAAAAAATTAACTAATTTGAATGTTTATCCCTGTTTCTATTGTATTATTTAAAAAAAAAGCAATATAAAGTAAATATTTAAAATCCAGATTTCTAATTAAATTAGATGTTTTCCACTTAATAATCGAATCAAATCAAAACATAAGAACTGTAAAAGAAATTACTTATGTATTGTTAGAACTTCATTGACGATAGGTTCCTTTTCATTTTGCTCAAACAATTTACCCGAAGTCACAAGAATATAGTCGCGGATAAAAGTTTATCAATCATAAATTATTTGTACTTTTATACACAGGATCATTAGAAAGTGCTGAATGTAGTGCGAGAGATTCTAGTCATTCCACATCGAGCCCCGGTCTCTCTAACGATAGTGCGGTTGAATCTTGGGATCAGAATACACCTGTCAGAACAAGTGCTAACTGTGGTAAGTATCTTTAATAATAGTTTTATTCCAATGTCATATTCTCAGGTAAATAAAATTAATCTTGATTACTGCTATATTTTAGGTAACTCAGACGTAATAGAATATGCAGTACCAGATAAAACAAGAATAACGGATAAACAACCATACTCTCCAACGGACGAAGATAAACTAATGGCGTCGAATTTCAATTCAGCTGCACCGTATAGCGTTAATGACTTGCCACTACCAAATTATTCTTTGAACAATTCCCTAAAGACTTTCCACTATGAAAACACTTGTATAATTCCTGAGAACACGTTGAAAAATAAACAAAATATTACAAGAGAGGACGATGTTCAACAAATTGAAATATTGACGTCAAACATGAAGGAATGTCAGTTACATAATATGGAGAGGTCGTCGTGTAAATGTGAATATGTACAAATGGGACCATATGGGATGGTGTCACCGAAGATTAGACGGCCTAATTGGGATAACGATTATTTGAATAATGGCATATATACAGTGACAACACCGCAAAAGTCGCCACATAAACCCAGTGTGCCTGGTACAAGTTTTCAGTTTTCCACGAGTCCAGTTTACGAAAACGATGTTCCAGGTAATTAAGTTATACGCAAAAATACACAAAGCGAGATATATTCTGTCAATTTAAATACAAATTATTTATTCACAGCCTCTTTCATTATAATTTTATTTATTTATTAGTCTCGTGAAAGCTAGGTAATGGCTTCTATATGATATCCTAAAGTCCAAATATTATTTTAGTCTAGATAAATATAAAAAAAAAGAAAATATTTATTTTGCGATTTGTTTTCTTTAATAGTATTATATATTGTAAAGTGATGTCTGTTACAGTCACATTTAGTTACTTGATTGTAAATTGGTATGGCTTACAATATTTAATAATAACACACAGAATATTTTTTATCCCGATTCACGTGGGCAAATTTATGAAGTGCAGCTAGTAAAGTATAACGTTTCTACTGACACAACACATTTTTTTATCGTTAGATAGCATTTCATTGAGAATTTCTACAAAACTCGATTAACTTTTTATTAATTCTATTAAAACAGTGTGTAGTTCCTAAACTGTTAATTTATTTTTAGGCCTTTACAACAATGAAACAGCATCGCCAGCGCGAGGTTCAATACACCACGTCATTTTATACAAGGACGCGATCTACGATGACTATGGCTTCTCAGTATCTGATGGATTGTACGAGCGTGGAGTATACATCAATCGCATAAGGAAGGGCGGCCCTGCTGACATTGTGGGCTTATTGAGGCCTTACGACAGAATTTTGCAGGTTAGACAATTTTTGACGGCCAAATTTATTGTGCTGGAGTTACTCTGCGAATTTGTGTGGTGACGCAAAATTTTTATGTACGTTCCGATATAGCTGGATGATTGCGCATTTAAAAGACAGTGATGATTATCATCATACGAGTAGGACACAATGTGTGTCAAGATTGAAATTGATTCTTTTGGCACGCAGTTTAAAATGCAATAATTGAAAAAGAAAATTAATAATACAACTGCCCTGCCCAAAAACGAAATTCTAAAATTTTATATCTAATATTACTCAAGTTGATGATCCTTAGGATAACCCATACGTTCAATTATGTTTAGATAGTAAAAATAGAAGTTAAGAGGAACAAAAAGACTCGCATACAGACATCTTTCTTGTTATTTCATATTTATGTTTATATTATATTATACACGTATTAGCTTTTCGCTCGCTTCATATGCGTGGATTTTAGAAGTAGGAGAATCAATTAAAATGGATCACTTTTAGAAGTCATATCAGGATAAAATATACATCGAGTTTATGAATTAGATCTTCAGTAACACAACTATCTAAATTGCATCTAATTTGGTGCAGTAGTTTTTGCGTAATATAAGAACAAACATATAAACGGAATTTTTTTTTGAAAATTATTGTTTTATCTTTAAGTACTCTTATAAAGCTCCCTCATATTATTTCTTAAATATCTCCCATGTATGTTTGTTTTATTTATTTATTTTATATTTATATTGTTTTATTATATTAGTAAGATACTGCTGTAAATTTTTGGAGGATTTGGAACAATAAAGAATATCTGTTAATATAATTGCTGTTCTTAAATTGTTGCAAAATATTACATGTCAAATATTTTTTTATGTACACAGTAGCCAAAATGTAAATATTCTACCTCAAAATATTACACTATTCTTTTCTGTAGCCATGTATTAATATTACGCAGTTATTTAAACACCGTAACAATAACATTTGAATTGTGTTTGTTCAAGTTGAAAAAAATCCTGTTTATTGAATGGTTCATATTTAAACAACCAATAGAAAATATTTATCAGGCAATGACGCGCCTTTTAATGTCTCGAATCGATTTCCAATTGTACTTGTACCTAAATAAACATAAACTCAAACCTTTTTAGCAGAGACAGAGTAAATTAGATATTTCTGATACAACTGGATTTCTGCACGTTGATAATTCAGGACTAGCTCGTTGGTTTAGGGTATACTTCTGATTTGATTTATCTTTAAATTACACCTGGAATTTGATCGACAAGGTTCACACCCTTGACAATTTTTTTTTTATTAATTTCTAAATATTATTAAGTTTTATCTTTAGCTGTACGGTTTTTACTCTGGAACATTCTATAGTTTTCTTTCAACTTCTCAAAGGTTGACTGTAAGAAATTTTTCTGTGGGATAAGTAAACTAGGTTTTAAACATATGTTGCGCTCCTATTTAAAAAAAAAAAGTTATTTATAAACTTTATTCCATATTTTAAAGGGTAAGTGAAGAAATCTCTTTTTGGTTTAAATATATAATATTAGATATAACAGAAACTAGTTTTTACCCACTACTTCGGACGCGTGGATTTCCGAAATAGGAAACCCAATGAAATAAACTTCTTCAAGTTGATATAAATAAATTTAATTTTTATCCATAAACACATAAATTTTTTTTAAACAACTTTACCTTTATTTTTTATTATGTCAAGATAAAACATACATCTTATTTTAATTTATCCCATCATGAATACAACTTTAAAAGTCACATCCAATTTGATGCAGTAGTTTTTACGTGATACCAGAATAAACATATAGATAGACAAACTAACAGAAAAACATCAAGAAAATATTGTTTTAGCATTTATTACTCTTATTAAGACCAATCATATAAATTTTTCTTAAATACCTCCAATGAAATGAGGATATCCGTAAAAGAACCCAAAATAAACGGTATAGCCCAAAGGATAAGCAATGAGCTGGTCATATAGCTTGAAGAACCGACAACTGATGGGGACGAAAGGTTCTTGAGTGGCAAGCCTGTACGGGTACAGTGTAAGACAACTCCCCACTAGATGGAGCGACGACCTCAAATACATTGCAGGGCATCAGTGAATGCAGGTGGCCTAGGACCGTTCCTTATGGCAGTCTGGGGGGGAAGTCTATGTTCAGTAATGAACAGATGATAGCTGAGATGTTGATGATGATCTCTCATAAACAGACAAAACTTAATTATAATTTTATTATATTAGTAAGTTTTCTGGAAGGGAACTCTTACAGAATTAAGCTTGCCAGTTGTCTGTCATCTTTATTTCATATAAATTATATGAATGTAAATTTTGTGTACAATAAAGTATAAATAAATAAATATTAATAATTTATTAATAAATATTAATTTTAGTATATTTATATTTAAAATTTAAATAATGCTAGGTTTAGATATAGATAAATAGATAGATAGATAGATAATTTATTTGCATTACTTACTTACAGCACACAAATTACAACATACATATACACAAAAAAGCAAGATAACATAAATGATAAAAAAAAAATACACAAAGCTAAATACAATTTTCGTTTGTGAGTGTGCCATAGCATTACATAATGGTACTACAGGACCGACCCCTCAAACACTAGAGCATTCATTGCAACCTGTAAAATGCATAGAATAGCAAACTCTTTAAATATTTTATGATGTGACTGAGAAAAGACATTCCGCTTATATACACATATGTTACTAACATTACAGTATTCTTATATTATTTTTAAAATATTCCTTTTCAAAATAAACTTTTTTGTTTATGTAATTTAAAATGGCAAACAGGCTGACGGCCCACCTGATGGAAAGTGGTAACCGTCGCCTATAGACATAAGCAGTACCATAGACATAAGCAGTACCATGGACATAACAGAGTATACTGTTTCGCTCATGATACCCCCCATGCGCTGCCATTCCTGAGGACTCGGGTGTTATTCCTCTGTAACCTGTAAATTCACTGCCATATCCCATCCTTCAAACCGAAACATAGCCATGCAAACACAACTGCTTCATGGTAGAAACACAAGTGGGATAAGTCCAGGCATACGACTTTTATACAAAGTCTCCATCTTCTTTTAAATCTTAAATTCATTTCCAACCGACTTTAAAAAGAAGGAGATTCGCAAATCGTTTTATACGTTGTATTTTTATGTATGTTGACTCATAACTCCATGAGTTGTAAACAGATTCAGAAAATTCTTTGTTTTTATCTGAAAGACTATTACGTATTGGTCCCATAGAAAGTCTGAAATAGAACGCTTAGCAATAACACCGCCTTTTGTACTACACTATACTTATTGAAAATTTTTCAACAACTCCTGTAATATTAGTGCAATAAAGTGTTAAATAAATAAAAAATAAATAAAGCTAGTCAAAAATTACAAATTTTGTTAGAATCAAAGTTAGTTTTTTTATGGTGTACAACCTTAATTTAATTTTAACATTTATTTATTTATTTATAAATTACTCACCATACTTACAGTATCCCAAAACGTGTAGTGAGCCATAGGTTTATTTTACAAACTTACAAATTTTAAACAACATTTTAAAAATATATCTATTTTGTCATTAAATATATCAATATCTGGCTGCTGAGCGATCAGAGAATTGAGCAGCCATGTTTTATGGAACATGCTTTAGAGCATATTAACATGTCACAAGAGGCTGTACGATTTTATTTTAAATTTTTCTTCCTCATACAGGTAAATGGTACCAGGACGGTGGACTACGACTGCTGTTTAACAGTACCATTGATAGCATCTGCCGGTGACCGTCTAGAAATCGTCGTACAGAGGCTTGCCACGTCCAGGGTAAGTTATAAATGTACCATTTTTATTTTATTGTTAAAAGTTTCGTATGCATACAGTTCTTATATATTTTAATGTAATAACTACTGTGTAATCAGGCTCGTGCTGTGTCACAACCGCTCATGCTTAAGGATCACGAATTGGTCCCGAAACTAGTCGATCTTTGTCGATCTAATTACAAGTTAAACCAGTAGTTATTACATTAAGATACCTCTTTTTTCCTGGAGAAATAGTGAATGATGAAGAGGTAAATGAAAAGATCACTTTCTATCAGGAAAAGCAAGACCAAGCACGAATCCATCATTTAACAAACAGAAAACAGTCTAGTCCACTAAAATTATTCCATTATATTATATATTTTAAGAAAAAATAGTAATGAATCTACTATAGATATATAGAATATGTATAAATGTTCCTTAAATACGTATAAGTAATAATTAAAAAAGTTTTTTCAAATGATATAGTAAAATTATATTTAAAAAATTATTGTCGAATCTCTTGAAAGCTTCAACTTTGTGAACAACACTGGAATTACATTAAGACAATGTTCTTATAAACTATTTAGACGAACAAGCTAACAATTTGTATAATGGTAAACGGTCACTGTAGCCTATGGACGCCTACAATACTAGGGACAACTGCAACATTCAAATCCGTTCAGTAGTTTTTGCGTGAAAGAGTAACAAACATCTATTCATTCGTCAATCGTTATAAACTAACGCATTTATTATATTATACTCGTAATAGGATACTTATAAATTTTACAAGTGCTTATAGGTAGAATAAAACGTTTATTTCAAAGGATGAAACATAAAACAAAAGTATAAAATAACGGCGCACCGTCTTCCAAAGGGAAAGTCAAGAAAATATTACTTATGTAAAATTGAGCAAGAAACCAATAAAGTACCATTTTTTATGTACGAGCAACTTTGTCGTTTTTTTTTTTCTCATGTTACCCTCATTGTAAATTTATTCCGTTTCGATAAAGAAAATTATGTTATATGACATTCCATTTTCAAGTTCGTAACTCGAGGAAGTATTGTGTAAGTCTGACGCCGTGAAAATAACTGTCTTATGTTTGTTACACAAAAGTAGGCTGCTGATAACTTTTAATGATTTTGTTGTTTAAATTGTACGTAGATGAGTGAAGCAGATCTTCTTTGAGTCAGTTAATGATGAGTTTTACGTAACTGCAAATTTACAATACTATTATATTATACATTGCTTAGATTGTATAGTTAGAGAATCGAGTCACAAAAACGGCCTAACTTTGTGTCAGCTAATTCTCTAATTAGCTGACTTCTTTTTTCTATCAGTGTTCTTATACTTATACATACAATGTATCTAGATGTATTTAATAAATAAAATGAGTATTTAGGCATTTAAAAGATGCAGAAATTATAAGACAAAATAAATATAGAAATTATAAGGGATTCACCGATAACTTTGTTATATATATATATATATAAAAAATAATATTTTTTTTTTTTCTATAACACAAACAAAAACTATAATTTGGTTGTAATTTTTTTATTACCTCATAACCCCGTCAGTTGTAAACCGATTTGAAAAATTATTTTTTATCAGAAAGAAGGTATATAGTGTTTTAGTTTATAAATGAAAATAACTAGTTTTGCCACAACTGAAGTCGATTTTTTAGTTCAATCTTATTCTAGTTATTATACTTATATTTCATTCTATTTAACTATTTCAATGACATTTAACAAGGTGGTATTTTACTATAAATGCTACCCATTAAAGCTATGAATGATATCCTTAAATAATAGGTATTAAATTCATGTAGAAAAATATAACCCAAACCGCCTGCCAAGCGTGGCAACTACTTGCAAAACACCTCTTATGGGAGAGGCCCATATCCAGCAGTCAACAGTAAACGACTAATATAATAATAAAAAAAAAAAAAAATACTTGTAACATTTTTTCTTTGTAATTTCATAATACGGAGTATTATACCAGACTTTTACCTAAGAAATATAAAAGTTTAATTATTAATTAACAAAGTATTGTATTAACAATACCAGCTTAATTATTCCTAATATAATGAATAAAATAGTGTTTTATCATGTCTGAAAGTTCATTAATTAAAATTTTAATCCAGAAATTATTATTAAAAAGGTTGTAAAACTAAAACTTTTATACAATATTACTAACTCGCCTTAGCTTTCTTTTAATTTTTCTTTCTATTTAGCTGTAAAATTATAATGAAGTTGAAATATTAATTAATATCCCATAGTAGATAAATTATACATTTAGCACTAAATTTTACCTTTAATATAATAACCATTTAAAATAAACCATCGTACGTATTGTATTTTTTTATACAACATAGAATGTCAAACAAGCTGACGGCCCACCTGATGGAAAGTGGTAACCGTCGCCTATAGACATGAACAGTACCATACCATGGACATAACAGAGTATACTGTTTCGCCCATGATACCCCCCATGCGTTGCCATTCCTGAGGACTCACGTGTTATTCCTCTGTACCCAGTAAATTCACGCCACATTCCACCCTTCAAACCGAAACATAGCCATGCAAACACAACTGCTTCACGGTTGAAACACGAATGGAACAGAGGTATCCAAGCAATCGACTTTTATATAAAATCTCCTTCTGGTAAATAACTGTATGTGTGCTTCTTTTTGTGGAAAAGAATCTTAAATTGTAGAGTACTAAAAATGTAATAAATAGCTAGACTTTTTCTTCATTTGCTTTATTAAGTAATTTTTGTATTTTCAGGATCTGAAGAATCAGAGATTGGATGACAATTCAAGCCCGAGCGACAGTAACATAGTGACAAAAACTATTTAGTGCATAACCCGACTTTAGTGAAATAACACCAAAGACTAAAAAGTTTAGTGTTAATATAGAAAGTACTATTCGATTGTACTTAAATTTAGACTACGTAATTAATGAACTGTGAATGAAAAATGAAATAATTATGATTTTGTTAATAAATAATAATAGTAAAGTATTAAAATTTGTATTTGAAATAAACTTATTAGGAAACGCTACTAATGTTAAATTAACTTTAAATTATACAATTCATTTTGTACATAATACGATGTATTTAGGTTATATTCGATTTTGTACACATAATATGTACTTATATATATTAAAATATGAAATAAGAAGAATACAGAATGAAATTTCCAATATAATATAGTAGAAAATCATATAGAAATGTTACCGGTATTAATGTTATAGATACAATAGAATTGTGCAAGTTTACCGTCTTAAATTATGATCCTACGTAAAGTAATGACAATTATGAACTAGATGTTTAAAAGATGAACTTTCATGAAATGAATAGTAAAATGGTTATAGAATAATAATAGATAGTGATAAACCATTGTAATAATGTGAGTGTAATGAAAAACGCCAGGGTTTCAACGTTGAAATATATAGAATATACTAAAACTGTAGTAACGATTAAAATTTGTCATAGTATAATAGTTAAAATATTAAACTATTTAATAACTATAAATATTACCATTCTAACTGATGATGTAAACACAGAAAATGAAGTTATAATTGATAGGGATGAATTGGATATTATGATAATGTTGCAAATATTACTTTGTTTAAGTCAATGTTTAATAATCCCAAAATGTGCCTATATGTTGTGCATAGTTAATTAGGAATATAGCATTGTATTATTAAATTAATAATTTAATAAACTGGATAGCAATGAATAAATTCTAGACTTGAGTGTTAAAATTAACTGGAGTTTATTTGTTAAATTCATCTAATTGAAATACATAGTCGGTTATTTTGCATTTGATGTTAACATATTATTAAGAAGTAATATTTACTTAGTAGAAAAACATGTAATGTACCTACATATGTCCGAAAACTCAAAAATTCATTAATATTTTTCTATCATCACGATTTTTTTCTGTTTCAACGAAACTACAATTAAAGTCCTTTTAATTAATGGCAAGTTTTTATTTCATTATTCTATAAATATACAAACTTGAAACTTGTATAATTTATAGTGAAACAGTTGTTTGCTTATTTTGTAAATTGGAATCAGCAAATTTCGGTCCATTTATTGTTTGAACGCGAGCCAAAATATTTTTCTCATTCTAAATTTCACATCCTTTCGCACGGTTTGGGAGTTTTGCTACTTAAATGTATGTTTATGTTTCTGTGTTTGCTGGTGTTTCTACTCGAATTTTTAAAGCGCAAAAGTGTAATCCTATTTCAATTTTATTTCAACTGAATAATGTTGAGTTTCGAACAGCATTATAATTGACTCGTGAATACTTATTTGAAATATTCCGTATCACACGATGTTTTTAATTACTTACCGACAGATAAATGTAATATGACTATCCCAATTATGATGTAAATAATTTAATAACCAAGATTTAGTAGTGATATTGTTGATACATCAGACTGATAGGAAATGTAATAGCTTAGAAATTCTGTATATTAATATAATAGTGTGATTTATATGATGTCGTTTTTCAAAACCATGATGCATTGTATTTAACATTGGACACTTTAATAAGTTTAACTAGAATACAGAATGACTTTGAGTGTTACAATATAGCTAATAGTGACGGTTTGTTGTAGATAGTGAAAGATAAACTATTAACAATTCGAATATTTTCTTTGGGCAATATTTTGTAATAATAAAATCGAAATTTGAAAATTTCTAAATTGTTGTTATTTGACAATAATTTTACTTTTGAAAAGTTAAAATGTAATATCAACCGCTTTAGGGTTGACTATAAAAAAATATTTTAAATAAATAAAAAATAGTTTATTTCCAAAACATTATTACACTTACAAAAAAGGTTAATACAGAGTAAAATAACATATATTGAAGGAGAAAGTGTTACGCAATGTTTGCCAAAATGGTCCCCGCTCAGCGTTATGCCGCAGTCGAAGAGCTACAGCGTTGATTTTGATATATATTTGAATCAAATAAGCATATATAAAATACTAGTCTACGTGAATATTACACACTTATTACGTAATCTAATGCTCTAAAATAACAATAATGTTTTTTTTTATATACATTTTAAATCTCTCTTCTTACTTTTATTTAATGTTTATCAAAATTTATACAAAAATTAATAATATTCAACAAAATTAAATATTATATCAAAGAGATTTAATTTGCAAATCTGATATTTCTTGTTACAAAGAATAACTTTTTACTGTCAACCCTAAGCAGATGAAATATGGTACGTTTTTATGTTGGGAATTATTATGTCAGGATATTGTTATATCCTTACTTTATTTAATAGCAGTACTGATGAAAAATACTGATGGAAAATATAATATCAGTACTCGGAATTTATTTTGTTCATTTTTAAACTCACGATTAAGATATTTATTTACTTCGTATATATTTATTAAAGAATAATTAAGTCATAGTACTGTTTGAAATACCAAAAATGTTTTTCTAGCTTTTTGTTTTATTCATTACATTAATGAAAGATTTTTGAATGGAATGTTTGTTTTTTTTTTAAATAAATTATTAAATCCGTTTTTTATAAACGTAAAAATCGTGTTTCGATCAATCTTCAGCAGCGAGACGGTCAACATTCGCCCATATTTATATATAGGTAGTAATTTTTTACATTTTATTTTTGTACCCTTAACTGTAAGACTAATTTACATTATTGTCAATTAATGTGTCATTAATTGAGAAATAGCAGTGAGCATAGATGCTACATTCGAATTAATAAAATGATATGCGTGATTGAACCTTAGTTTCTTTTTTTCTATACATATGTGTATATTTATCTTCATATGTGTATCGTGTAAGTGGTCCTAAAATAGAATAGGCCATCCATTCCTTTCCTGTGGATGTTGTAAGAGTCGACTAAGGGAGGGCGAGAGAGGCAACAGCGTCCCTCTTAAAATATCTCCAAAGCCTAACTGCGTTTGCCTATCCGCCTGCCAAGCGTGGCAGCTATTGGCAAAACTCCCCTTATGGGAATGGCTTATGTTCAGCAGTGGCTAATTAGTGGCTGAAATAATAAAAAATAATATGTATCTTATTATACTTACCTATGTATTTTCATCTTAGATTATATAGATAGAGTATCTCCATACAAATACTTCGAGAAAAACGGGTCAACTTTTTATACAATTTTGTGTGATATAAGTTATGAGTGATTCCTTTATAAATTCTATATTTATTTTGTTTTATAAATTCTGCACTTTTTCATTTTACTTATTAAATAATTAAATATAGATAAGTCAAGATGCATTGTTTGCGTAAATACAAAGAACATTAGTAAAAAAAAGGAGCTAGCTAATTTGACAATTAGCTGACAAAAAGTTGACCTAACTAATTCTAACTGCGATTGCCTATCCGCCTGCCAAGCGTGGCAACTACTGGCAAAACACTCCAAGGGGGAGACTTATGTTCAGCAGTGGACAGTTAAACGCTGACGATCATGATGATAGCGAAGCAGATAACACAGCAGTACAAGTTACTTAATGCGCCCCGGCTCAATTTGGAGCGCAAAAGTCGGCGCTTTCAAATGAGTCTGAAGTTACTGAGCTGACGCAAGAAAAATCGTTGAGTTACCCATCCCTAAAAAAGAGACACACGAACAGCTCAACTGACGGTAAGTAATCACAATAATCCCTAGACACTAACAACACCAGAAGACTTTCCTGTATATTAAAAAGGCCGGCCTTTTAAAAGGCGTACATTATAACGAAATAGTACATTATACTGCAGCGGCCAGCAACTGAGGCATTGATGGACGAACGCGCAAATGTGAGCCGAGGCGTAGCCGAGGCACACATATGTGAGTCCATCAATGCCTAGTTGTGGCCAAAGCTTGTATAGTACTTTTCTCAAACAATACGCGGAAATTAAAAACACAATTTTACTTTAATAATTTTTCGCGCCATAATGTTCCTTTGTTTTTTTTTTCAATAAACAGCTTTCTATTTGCAAGCCAGTTCGGAATTTAAATGAAACTTTTTATTAGTTACCTCCTTGGTACCCATGTTTCGAAGTAAAAGGTCATTCCATTTTTAAATTACAGGACAGATATGAGTTTACATAGTAATTTATCTGGCCGCAAAACACGAAAGATATAGATTTTCATACAACTTTTGCCGGCCGCTTCCCGCATGTATCTGGCCAGTACGGCAATTTTGATTTATCTCTGAGAAGAATGTCAAAATAATGCTCCCATTTCCAAGCATGTTTGAGAAATAATTATTTATTGAAATTAATTAGAACAACAATGTGTATAATTAAATATAATTACATCACACCGGAAAAACAATTATTGTGCAATTCAGATAAATTAGAACCGTTAAAATCCACCAAAACATTAACGAGCCAACCTCTAAAATACACAAATCCCGCCCCGAACAACACAGCCCTGTAAATACAGATTATTCACACTACGAATTTAGCGCGCCGTGATAAAACCCATTGAAATCTCCATTAATCCACCCTATATAGCAACTGGGAATCGAAAGAGTGATTTTGTTAATATTATTGGTACGGAATCGCTGATTGGTAAATTGACTTTAATCTAATACGAAGTATAATCAATAAATATACAATAAATATCTTGTGGTGATTTGTGAGGAAGAGATTGGACTGTATATATGTATATTGGTGATATTAATTAAAGATATACTCAAGTTCCAAGTACGAACAGTATCTACGTTTTGTGGTGAAAAATTTGATGATAGATTGATGGTAATGATGACAGTTTATTTAATTTAACTAAATTTTCAACGCCTTATTGTGGTGAAATATTAGGGAGATATTGGACGATAAATTGATTGTAAAAATGATTACGATTATAATCATCACTACATAGTATAAATCAAAGTGGCTGTCGCTGTCTGTCCGTCCTTATGTATGGTTAAATCTTTAAAATTACGCAACAGATTTTGAAGTGTTTTTTTTTTTATAGATAGAGTGAAGAGGAAGTCAAGAGGAAGGTTTATATGTATAATACATGCATAATATCGTGAGAAATACTGATAATTTTAAAGGTTTCTAATGTGATGTGATGTAAAATATATACTGAAGTTCGATTTATGAACTATATCTATATTTTGTGGTGAAAAATTTGATGATAGATTGATTGTCATGATGATGATGATAATTAAAGTTTTATTCAAGTTTGTTGTATTAAAATTTTCAACAGCATATTGTGGTGAAATATTTATTGATTGTAAGAATGATGATGATGGTCATTAAAGTTGTACTCAAGTTAGATCTATTAACAATATCTACATCACATTGTGGTGAAATATTAAGGAGAGATTAGACAATAGATTGATTGAAACATTGATATGTTAAGCCTATTAATGTAGCTGAAAGTTAAATGGGTCGTAATGACGATTATGAAGGACAATGTTATATTGAAGTTTGACAAGCTAACTACTCACCTGATGGAAAGTGGTAACCGTCGCCTATAGATATGAACAGTACCATGGACATAACAGAGTATACTGTTTTGCCCATGATACCCCCCATGCGTTGCCATTCCTGAGTACTATGGTGTTATTCTTCCATATCCTGTAAATTCACTGCCATATACCAACCTTCAAACCGAAACACAGCCATGCAAACAACTGATTCACGATAGAAACATGAATTGGACAGAAGCACCAAAGCAAACAACTTTTATACAAAGTCTCCCTCTGGTAAATAAATTGTGTGATTACCAACCTATGTATTTGATCTATATTTCTTTCTTTTTTATTATTTTTTTTTTAGTGGTATTTCGCGGCTCACTTTTGGCCACAACAGATTATCAGTGTTTTGCTCTTTTTAGGGCAAAGCAAAAAGCTGAGTTGTGGCCATTTTGCATTACTGTGGCACACGCATGAAGAAGAAAAATTTTATTATGCATTCTGATTTTGTTTTTGGTTTTTTTTTTTTTAATCTTTTGTACATGTATCTTTTTTATCTTTTTTCACATTGCTTTTGTGTCTTTTGTTTGTGTGCTGTAAGTTATGCAAATAAATTATCTATCTATCTATCTATCTATCTAACCATTGTACTAATACTAGTTTATATTATTTTGTAATACTATCTTACGATCTAGTGTGGCTACTAAGCCGTACTACTAAGTTACTATTAATACTTATCTATTATTTGTAATCGTATATTGTCATTGTAAATACTAAATTGTTATTTTAAGCAATTCTGATTCACTAACACACTGACACTATTATATAGACTCTACAGTAATATATACACATACTATACCTGCACAAATAGTGTAAGAACAATTCGAAATAATCTTAAGATCATTTCAAATTGTTTAAAAAAAAAAATGGGTAAAAAACCTGTTTGCGCGTACCCTTATTTTTATATATTTTTAAGTAAAATGAATATAAATTTATTCTTATTTATAGACATTCCAAAAACACATGGCTTTGGCCCGTGTCTAAAACTACCTCTAAATGAGAGATATAACAAATTAAATAAAAATAATAATAATAATCGGTACCTAGTGCTAAATTCATTTCCCTTGATCCTATCCTATCTAATCACCGTCATCGTCTTTACCTCCGAGTTACAATGTGACCTCCGCAATCGACGAGCAACTACGTAGAAAAAAATATTAATAACATTGTTGTACTGTAAATGTGGTTACCGCTTTAATAATTTGAAGTGCTGTGTTTGTAGACAATATTGTGTGTGTACATTGGTGATAAAGTGACGGAAGGAATCAAGGCGCCCGCACAGGACGTCATATAATAGCTAACGACAAGACGGTGAGTCCTTATATCCTTTCGTTATCTTTGTCACACCTAAATTTGTTTCCTATAAAACCCATCAAAACCATAAAACATAAAACAAAAAAAGAATGAAGATTATAGTTACGTTTTAAACACATGCTATATAGAGAATCTTAAAATGTAAATGATTCTATATTTTAAAATAAGCGTCCTGAATTATAATCCGAACCTTTCATTTGAACGGCGAAATTCACTTGAAATACTTATATATTCTGTTAGTGAACATAATATATTAATAAATCATAACATATTAATAAATCATAAGCATGCCCTCACAGTCAGAATTAATGTCCCAATTCTATATGCTGGTAGGAAACATTTGTAGCTAATTTTATTAGCAATTATAATTTCGTATCTCGGTATAATTACCTAATGATTTATATCCTGCGAACTAATAAAATCAAACGTCATTATTCAGTTGAGCAATGACGCGTGTTAAATGATTCTCATATATTTTAACTAACATTTATTTAGTTACAAAAGTTATTTTTAATTTTTGACTAGCATTATTCTCTCTTACTAACGTACGCTACTTTGTACACGAAATATTCAGAAGTAGTAAAACCAATGGACTATTTCTAAATGACGTATAATAAAAAAGTACACCAGATTTTAAGTTAAAATTTTAAGAACACATGTAAAAACTGTATCCAATTTGATGCAGCAGTTTTTTGTGTATAATGACTAATAATAAACTTTATAATATAATGATAAGACGTTAGT